GATTTTTATCAACGCTGTTGTCAACTCAAATGATTGGTGTATTACTTTAGAAATTAATAATTTTCCTTTGCAGGTTAAAGTGGACACAGGTGCACAGGCGAATATTTTATCTGACGATTCATTATTTTTCCTTGGTATAGATAAAAATAACTTAATATCAGTTAATACTAAGCTCACCACATATACGGGCGAATGCATTCCGTGCCTAGGTCGATGCTCTCTTTCGTGTAAGTACAATGACAGAATATTTTATCTTAACTTTTATGTTGTTTCTGGACGCTATACTAATATATTAGGACTTAAATCGGCCATTGACATGGAACTTGTAAAACCTTTGCGTGAAATAGAGAAAAAAGTAGATATTTTTCAAGAATTCAAAGATGTTTTTGAAGGTTTAGGTTGCATTAGAGGAGAGTATGATATTAAAATAAAAGAAAATTCGGTGCCTGTCATACATGCCTGTAGAAAAGTACCCATAAGTATAAAATCTCGATTAAAAGAAAAGCTGAATAAAATGGAACGACAGAATGTAATTATGAAAGTGACACATCCAACTGAATGGGTGAATTCGTTAGTGATTGTTTACAAACCGAACGGTGATCTGAGACTGTGTGTAGATCCGAAAGATCTTAATCAAGTGATTATGAGGCAACATTTTAGCTTACCCACGTTTGAGGAAATAACAAGTAAATTAGCAGGCGCTACTGTTTTTAGCACACTGGATGTTAAAAATGGCTTTTGGAATATCAAATTATCAGCAGCTAGTTCTGACCTTTGTTGTTTTAATACTCCGTTTGGTAGGTACAAATTTTTGAGAATGCCGTTTGGTTTGTGTAGCGCTTCGGAAGTTTTTCAACAAAGAATGAGAGAAGTATTGGAAAATTTAGAAGGGACAGAAGTCTTTATCGATGATGTTTTGGTTTGGGGGAAAAATCAGGTGGAGCATGATAGACGTTTGCGTTCAGTTTTGGCCCGATTAAGACAAGAAAATATTAAATTGAATAAAGATAAATGTAAATTAAATTTAGCTGAAGTTAAGTACTTGGGCCATATAATTAGTAAAGGAGGATTAAAACTTGATGAAGGAAAGATTAGGTCAATCGTTGCAATGAAAAGCCCTCGAGACAGGAAAGAACTAGAAAGATTTTTAGGTGTTATCAATTACGTTTCAAAATTTATTCCTAACTTTGCTGATTTAAGTGCTCCTCTAAGAAATCTTTTGAAAAAACATTGTGAATTTAATTGGTTGGAAAACCACGAAAAGATTTTCCAAGCTTTGAAGAAAAAGCTGGCCTCGGAGCCAGTTCTTCAGTTTTTTAATGAAGATCTTCCTGTTATACTGTCCGTTGATGCTTCAAAAGATGGCCTTGGAGCAGTTCTACTCCAAAATAACCTTCCTGTTTCATATGCTTCTAAAGCTTTAAATGACTGTCAAAAGAGGTATGCTCAAATTGAGAAAGAGCTACTCGCTATCCTATTTGCTTGTGAAAGGTTTAATCAGTTTATATTTGGTAGAAAAGTAACTATTGAAACGGACCATTCCCCACTGATTTCTATTGTTAAAAAACCATTAAACGCATGTACTGCACGTATTCAGCGAATGTTACTTAAGTTGCAAAAATATGACTTTGAATTAATTTACAAGCGTGGCAGGGAATTGTATTTGGCTGACACTTTGTCGAGATCTTATGATGACAATGATTTTTTAGAAATCGATTTGGATACTGACGAGATTGAGGCACAGATTGATTTTATTGTAAGTAGTATTAATGCGTCAGAATCACAGTTAAATTATATTAAACAAATGACAATGGAAGACAGTGAATTGATTCTTGTTAAAAAATATATATCTCAGGGTTGGCCATCTCACAAAAATTCAATACCGAGTATAGTTAGAAAATATTGGCCCGTTAGAAATGATTTGACCTTTAAATCAGATATTATATTTAAAGGTAATAGTATTGTTATTCCGTTTGGACTGAGGCGAGAAATGCTAAAACGTTTACATTTTCCGCATCTGGGTATTACAAAAACGCTGTTGAGGGCAAGAGACTGTCTCTATTGGCCAGGCATATACAATGACATTAATAATTTGGTTTCTTCTTGTAATATCTGTAAACTTCATAGTAATAATAATAGGCAGGAGACACTGATACCACATGCTGTCCCACATTATGCTTGGCAAAAAGTTGCAGGTGATTTATTTGAACTGAATGGTAAAATGTATTTACTAATTGTTGATTATTATTCCAAATATCCGGAAATATCTTTATTAAATAGCACGACAAGTGAAGCTGTTATTAATCATTTAAAACAAATTTTTAGTCGTAATGGAATTCCTGAAATATTCGTTAGTGATGGCGGTCCTCAGTTTTCTAGTGAAAAATTTCATTCATTTTGCAAAGAATGGAATATTGACCATAAATTTTCTAGTCCTGAGTATCCTCAATCCAATGGTATGGTGGAACGGACAATTCAAACTGTCAAGAACTTACTTAAAAAAGCTTTTTATGAAAAGAAGGACCCATATTTAGTCATGTTAGAGTTAAGGAACACTCCTATATCTCTTGAAATCCCTTCACCTGCTCAAATTTTCTTCAACAGAAAGATAAGAGGTATTCTGCCTTTGTCTTCAAATAGTTTAAATCCAAAAATCTTTGATAATTTAAGATCCAATTTAGAACAGAAACAATATAAAAGTAAAGTATATTATGATAGAAATAAGAAAGACTTAAGGCCACTAGTAAGGGGAGAAAAAGTTATTTTTAAAATTGGGAAACAATGGAGAAATGGTGTAATCATATGTGCATTGGATAAACGAACTTACAAAATTATTTCTAATGGTGTTCACTTTATCCGTAATAGAATATATATCAAACCTTTAGCGTTTGTTCCTTTTTATATTCCGGATGATATTGACGTTCCTCATAGTGTAAATAATTTACCACCAGAGCAGGCCGGAAGTAGGCCATTGATGAATAGAAATTCAGATGGATATTTGGTAACTTCATCAGGTCGTGTAAGTCGCCCGCCTGATCGATTTGGTTTTACTTATAAATAGTTTTATTGTAAGTTTTGAGTGTGTTGTGTTATAAATATTTTTCTGTTGATATAAAAAAAAAAGATTTTTTTTTGTTATTAAAGAAGAAGGATGTTGTATTAGAAACTTTTTTAATTGTCATGTCTTTTATAAAAAAAAATATATTTTGTCACTTGACAGAGATAACTCAAAATGTAATGGTTTTATTTTAAAAACTTTTACTTTAAATTACATATATTTAACAGCGTCAATTTACACTTACCTCAAAAAAATACGCACACGCCTAAAGACAAAGCAGTAATACATCCTTTCCCTATTTATTTAACCAATCAATCATGAAAGTTATGTGTCTGGGCCTATAACCTGTTGTTAAAAGACTGAATAAAATAAAGGAAGTTTGAGAAACTGAAAATATTATTTTATTTTATCTCACACAATAGCGCCATACATAACTTCCATAGACAAGAGAGCTAGTGAGAGGGAGAGACAAAGACTGAACATGTTGTGTTGCTTTAAACATTAACTATTTATGATTTTAAGAGACGTAGTAACGTACTAATTTTGTTTGTTTTTCGTCATTCCATCGAATAACAGTTTTCTGTGACAAAAATGTGAATTGTCTTTTTTTGGAATATATTGTATTGTATATATGGATCAATCATTGACCTACTATTGATGAAAGTAGGTGGTGCTGCGTGACCCAGTTATCGAAGAACATGTGAAATATTTTATAAGACGTGGTACACCACGTCCGCTAATAAATTATTTGACATGTTCTTGTACATATTTGTATCTAGGGGCACCATTCCCTTAATTGTGTTTTTAATTGTGGTGCATGAGCACCACTATTAAAACCACAAACCGCTAAAAACCGCTATATTATCATGTCGCGGTGATCGTGCTAGGAGGGCATAAACCAATGATATCTTAAATATCGTTGGTCATAACAGATAAAGGAAGAGTGACTTTGAAGTTAGGTGCCAAGTCAATGAAAATGGTGTAGGGATGTTCTACGTGCTAACCTCTACCGTGTTGATGATGTTAATATTTAAAGAATGTAAAACTTCGTTCAATTCTGTTTTAGAGCAGGGAAAATTGCCGATCTAGGGTCGAATAGTCCGCAACGCAGTTTTTTATGTTCATGGAAATACCAGGACTGCAATTAATAAACAGCGCCACTCGTAAACAAGTTTAGTAGTTAATTTTTTAGTTGATGACGTTCATCTTGGTAAAAAATAACTGCGCTAGATGTTGAACAGACAGATAGAATACTTAGCGGAAATTCCGATTGAATCGGAGCGCCCGTCTGGGAATCACTCTCCTTGCACCTTATCCTCTATTATAGGATATCACATTGAATGAATACAGCCATTTGTTGGTATTCTATTGCTGTGTTGGTAAGGTTTCCATAGGATAGTAGGAGATTGCGTTTACGACGGTGGTATGCTGTGGAATAGCTGGAGCGGTATTTTTTTGTGTCGCATTAGTTATATTCGCAACAGGACTCCGTATACACACTTAACATCAGGTGTGGTAGGGATTGTGGATTTAAAAAAAAGATACGATTTAATTCCGTGATATATCATAATTCGTTTAACGTCATTCCACTTTTAGCTGTAGCTGGAGTATAAGTGTACAAATATGACTCAACTTTATGTAATACTATATTACAACAAGAACGTTATAGAATAGAAGAAATGGGACTCTTCCTCGGAAAGCTCAACAACCTCTCACTGCAAATCACAAATAAATCAACGTTATTGTTCCCCGTTCCTACTTAGGCGCCAATCATTCATTATGTAAGACTATCCGTTAGTTTTGCGATTTTACGTAAGACCTATGGAGACTCCCTCCCACCCCCTTGTAAGAAAAAATAAGACATGGTCATCATCCCTCCTCCCCTTAATCGTCTTACGTAATAAATGAATGACCCCTTATAACAGGCGAATTCTTGTTCCAGCACAATCAGCGTATGAACCAGACCTCGTATTGGAATATACTGATTCAAACCAAGTACAGTCAGCCATAGTGCTGCTTGACTCCCACGTCAGACAGAGACGGGACGCGCCGACGCCGTCTCCCTCTCCCTCGCCCGCGCCGGCGGTCACTGCCGCGAATGTGACGCACCCGGCAGGGTCAACGACCGTCCTAGCCACCCCCACGGTACCTTCAGCGGGGACTACAGCTTCCACCGCGCCGGCAAACGTCTCAGCAGCGGCTTCCGCTGCCCCCAAGACTAACGCTACAAACGACATTAATAGGACGACCAAGTTAGAAAGTAAGTGCTTATTTTTTACGATCCTAAGTTTTTACCATCTGCATGCACAGCGAAAAAATAACACATGCTTCACTTTGTGTTCTGGTCGGGAAAATCACAGTGAACAGAGCACCTTAAAAAGCAAAATAAGTTATTGTTTGCCCGCGTATGTGTTCATCCTTTCTACATTTAGGGGTGCTTAAAGAGTTGTGAAGAAGAATTTGTGCTGGTGCTGGTGTGGCCAAAAAAGCTGCTGCTTTTTATTCTCGTCTTGACTCCACCACCTAACAATTGAAAAACCGATGAATCGTAAGCGTGATGTAATTTACAGTTTACCGAGAATTGTTTTTATGTATGCAACTCTTTTATAAGTATGACAAATCTGCGTCATAATATATTCCGTCCTCAGCGCTGATGCGAAGTATGCATCACACCGAAGGTAATTAACGGTCATTTTGTTATTTTTATCGCCTATCGAATGAGACGGCTCAATGACTTTGTCCTATCAACTTGGAATTGTCGTTTAACCTTTAATATCACCTTGAAAATTAACAAATCAAAATATATTATCAATACTTAAACAATAAAGAGGAATGATTTGTAATTTGAGGTTTGAGATTTGATCTGTGAGGGATCGTCACGCCATAAAAACCTTTGAGCGTCTTTGACTAAACATTTGTGACAAACCTTCTTTTCGGTGACCCATTTCCATCTTTCATCGATGGCGGTCGCTGCGAAAATTTTGCACGTTAAAATATTGTGGCCTACTTTTGAGCAAATCATGCAAAGCTTATTAGGTTCTTTGAGCAGTTGAGACAAAGGAGTATGACTTGTGGTGTGACACCTAATAGGTTTGACAATTATGTACCTTACATCCCGTTTTACCGGTTCAAAAAAATCGTATTTAGATTTTAAATTAGCCTCATGCATGAGAAACTCAGAGAGAAGTTCGAGGCGGAACTTTTTTACGGGGTCACTTTCGCGCGAGAAGGCAAAGTCTGCCCACCGTGAGCGTAAGGAATTGGTAAATTTCCCTACGATCTCGTTGGACAATTCAGGGGAGGCTAGATACTCTGGCACGCAAAGGAGACGCACTACCTCAATGCAGTGCCGCACTCTGCATGCGAAAGCATTTATCTCCCGCGCAGTCTCGTTGTGTGATATCCTTGGTATTGCGCGTACAGTAGCCAGTTCAGCATGATGATACGTTCGGGCCTAGCAAAAGTCGATCTCGAGTGCGCGCATCACCTCCCCAGAGTCACACGTGGTAGCCAGCAGAACAGCTACAGCATCACGAGCCGGAACCCTTCGAGCAGCGCTAATCCTGGCTAAGTTCTCGGCCGGCAAGTAGGCGGCGCTGGTAGTGACGTAGACTCTCCTGAAAACTAGCTAGTGGGTTGGTTTACCGTCAAAAAAGGGAAGGCTAACGAAACCTGCCTTCGGTAGTGTAGCAGTAGCAGCCGCAATTTTGGCGAATTCTTCGGCTAGCCGTAACGTGTCAATTTCTTTACACGTCGTCCCAACGTGTGGCGCATGCGCGGTGGTAAAGAGTGTACCACTTTGTGGCGCAAATACATTTAAATGCGCTCTGAAATTATTATTACAATTAGTGGGGAAAGTATTAGAGGTACAGGGTTGCAACTGTGGGTTAAGAGGGTTGCGGTCACGGTCACGTATTTGGGTGGTGTCCTCACGCCCCATAGCGGACGAGGTTACGTCTAGTGGCACCCCTATAGTCACGACTTCAGGTGTTAAGTAGTAGGCATAGTCGCTGGGACATTATGATGCGACGTCTCCATAATATACGTCTTGGGTGGAATAGAGTTAATAGTAGACTCGTTACCATCTCCACGGTTTAGCCACTCCTGGACTACTTTCGATCTGCGGTTTGAATGTCGACTGCTGCCCCTACTTCCAGTAGAAGCTTCGAGGGAAGCAATATGGGCACGGTGCTCAGCTTCGACTACGGCTCGCTCCGCGGCTAAGGTGCGCTCATGCTCAGCACGCTCCGCGGCCAGGGCCCGCTGATGCTCAACACGCTGCGCGGCCAGGGCGCTTTCACGCTCGGCGCGCTCTAGGTCTGCAATGCGCCTTAAATGTTGCGCCTCTGCTTCAAGCACTCGTGCTTGTACTGTAGCCGATAAACGCGACGACGATGCCACAGAATTGTCACTTTTATTAGATTTATTTGCCTTAGCGGCGGCATGGCTTCTGGTAAGCATATTATATTTACTTAAACACTCTGACACCAATAAATATAAGGAAAACATTAAAAAGCAGTTTTCTCTTAATTGACGTTTAATTACGTATACAATTGTAGGTGACAATAAAAGTCAAAAAATATCCAAAAACATTAAAAATAAATGGTATAAAAACTGCCAGTTTCGTCAACAAACATTATTTAATGTACAGTATCTTCGGACCACGAAATTACACGATATTTACTACATCCCCCCTCCCCCCTTGTGATATTTCGTGATCATTTATGAACCCCCCCCCCCGTATTTCGAGCCTCACGTGATTAATGGACAGCCCCTTTGTATGGAAAAAATTTTGCCCGCCTCCCCTCTTAATAAGTAGTAAAATACTTTAAATAATTTCATGAATCGTTCATTTCACTACATCATATTATTTAAATCATTGTTTTATTACTCGAGCCTGCTTTTAACTGTTCGCTTACTGGGTTGTGTTTGTTCAACTGTCATATTGTTGGATCATTTCTTTCGTAATACAATAAATATCTCGACCTTGGCTCGTTTAGATAAATATCAGGCAGTTGGTCTTCCTCTTCCTTGCTCTAACATAAATCTATATTATCCTGCAAGGCATTTTTCTGTTGCCTTCAAGAAAATGGAGTGAGTTAGGTCACCATTCTTGTGAACGACATTCGCGGTTGATTTCTCTGCTCAGCACTAAAGCTGTTAACATTGTGTGCTCTTTAATGAGTAAACTAAATTTTATTTTAAGTATAAAATACAAAAGAGTTATCTAGCCGACAGGGTGGTGGTGCTGTGGGTGGTAGCTGTTTTTGTAACTAGATTCCGCTCCACTTAAAGAACATAAGATTTATTTCGACCTACAAAACAGTGATAAGGATGTTGTATATTCATCTAAGATAGAACGAAACTCGGTGATCGCAGATAATAAGATATTGGAAGATTCGAGAGTTGTGTTAATGCATGCAATTTGAAAGAAGAAAGTTAAACTTTGTGACATCCCCTCCTCACGTTATCACTTCTAAAAAAGTTTTAAGTATATAATAATTAATATTGTGTGCTCCTTAATGAGTATTACTTCTCACTCTTATTAGCCATATTAATATTAGTTACTTTCCAGACGTACGATATATATCTACCGGGAAATCCGTTTATTTTTAAATATTATATCCTAGTATAATTATAATATACGTCGTGTAACGTGTAATCTCGTAAAATGAATTTAGAATTAATTCTGGACAGTAAAAAAATGAAAATATTTTACAAACCTTTTTAAAAGTGGTGCATTATTTGCAATAATAATGCACAATTATAATGTAGGTACGATATAATTATTTTTACCGGTTTGAACTTTAGTCGTTTGGCTGCACAGTAAGCCATTTCCTTCCCAAAAAAACCTAACCACAGTCAACCGCTAACTTCAGACAGGTCAACTTGGATCAGACTAATATATAGATCGGATGTGGACGGATCTAATCTATGTACATTAGAAGATGGTGAAAATCAGTAGCATGAACCAAGTAATAATTCAGATACTAGTCAGTATTGTGCCGTCTTAGACTGTTTGTATTTACACATTATAGACCTGTTTGAATCTGTAAAATAAAATCTTACTTCTGAGTTAGATAGTTCCGATTAGTTAATTATGCGTTACGTCATAAATTTTTTAATTTAAGCAGTCAGTATGATATCGAAAGTTAGATTGCATGTTACTGAATCGACGTGTTATTCCGGAATATTTCTCTATGATTATCTAATGTTTTTGCATTTAAATGTTACAGAAACAAGAGCCATGCGTTGCAAATATTTTGCCACCCTTTAGATTAAATAACGTTTGAATAAGGCAATAAAACTTCAAAAATTGGGTCTGAATCAATAAAATTATTGGGTCTGATATTGTCATATTTTTCTACCTACAGAATAATGTCATAGTCGGTCCCAGTATTAAGCGAAAGTTTATCAGGATTTATGAGCATCATTGACTCACCTTTACTGGACTTGATTCTGGTACGATTGTCTACCTAAACTTAAACTAAACTGTATAGAGCATGTCCAATTTAATAAGGTTCAAAGGATCATGCCAGAACAACCTTCACAATAGGCTAGTTGATTCATGTCGAATTGTATTAAATAAATGTTTATTTCTTAAATTATTTGGTCTAAGGAACATAAATATATCGATTTCACTTCATAAAAGCAGAAGATCACTGTCGAAATTTAATTAAAAAAAATATTTTTTAGCCTATATTTTTTAAACACTAAAAACGCGGTTCGCCACATCCGCCATGATTGTGACGTCTCTTGTAGTAAACAACTAAATGTCATTCGCGTGTTACTGTGGGTGGATTCTTTCGTCTGACTAAATTTATCATAGAACACTTTTAACTTTACAAAAGTTTCCGTTTACTGTTTTTTTTTGACAAAACTGATTATGGATGCCGGCTTTGTGAAAGCAGAAAGCACAAATCTGCCAAGAATTGACGCATTGATGGTTGGTGAATTTTTTGCACTAAACCCCGATTTCTGCTCTGCGGAGCAGAAAAACGACAAGGCATCTATGTAAGTACAGTGCATTAAGTATTACAATGTAGTAATTAACATAAAACTGATACAACATATGAATAAGTGTAATAAAGTTGCGTAGGTTAATTTCTTTCGCCACTTGGAGTCTTCAAGGATGTGTTTTTATATTCTCGTACAATACAATAATGATAATTACTTTATTTTTCGTGGTATTTATTAGAAATCATGTTTTTTTTTATTATAAACTCAGATAAGTTATTTTCTACGTGCTTACGAGTTTTT